GTCAAGGGAAGATCCCATCCATGACCACGCCCGTGAATGTTGTATATTACGATATGCGAGATTTCTTGGTGTCATGCGTTGATAGGTACTGCGAGTTGGCCAAGGTTGACAAGAAGTCCCTCAAGCAAGTGGCAACCCCCTTTCATGAAAACCGGATTGCGAAGATCCTTGAAAGCAACGAACCTACCGGTAAGCTGCAATCGATTGCTAGCCGAGTGCTCATGAAAGTCTTGTTTGCTGCGAGAATGGCTAGGTGGGATCTGTTACGTGCCACTCAGGCCTTAGCGTCCAGAGTCACCAAGTGGTCTCGCGACTGCGACGTCGCTCTACATCGGTTGATCAGCTACATAAACTCTTCACTTGAAGTTCGGATGAGAGGTTTCATTGGAGATCGCGTTCAAGATTGTAAGTTGTGGATGTTCTGCGATGCTGACCACGCTGGCAGTCATGACAGCAAATCCACATCAGGTTGCGCCCTCTACTTGGTGGGCCCCAACACTTACTTTCCCCTAAATGCCTTTTCCAAGAAACAGACAAGCGTCACCACTTCGAGCACTGAGAGTGAGGTTGTGGCTGCAAACCAAGGTATTCGCGCTCAGGGTCTGCCCAGCCTCAGTCTTTGGATTTTCCTATGGCGTGAGGTTGCAGGCAGGACCGCCAGCTATCAAGCTAGGCCGAAAACCAACACCAACAAAAGGGAGAGTGACATCATCGCACGAATTGATCCCGAACTCGATGAGATCCGTTACGGTGAGTGCAGGGCGGATGGACGAAGTGTCGCCGACTTGAACGGCCTCAAGGTACATCATAGCCCCAAGTTTGCTGTTCAACTCCTTGAGGATAACCAGGCCACTATTACTATCCTCCTTAAAGGTGACAGCGAAAAACTACGTCACACCGACCGGACTCAACGCATCTCTTTTGCGTGGATCAAACAACAATTCGAACGTAACCTTTTCGACATGATCAATGTCGACACCACCGAACAAGTAGCTGATATCTTTACCAAGCCTTTCGCTGACCGAGGCAAATGGGAGCATGCACTAAGGCTTATCGCGCACGTCGATGTCCCTCTTCAGGGGGGAGGAAAGTCAAAGGTCCACGAGTCCGATGCTCATCTCATCAACAAGCCCGCCGTTCACGCTCACCCTGTGGTGCAGCCGGTGAACGACCCTTGTGCGATCGCAGAAGAGCTTAACAAGGAACGCGACTTTAGTACTAAGGCTTTGTTGCGTGTAGCCCAAGTCATGTATCCCAATAAAACCAAGCGAAAGATGATTAAGCTTGATAATCGCAGCTACTATCACATCTTTGGGCAATGGACTTACGGGGGCATGCAAGGGGTGACTAAGGCGACCCGCCGGTGGCCTCAGATTGCCCGATTCCTAAACGGCGTAGTGCAAGCACATGCTCCGAAAGACTTCACCTGGAACTCCGTGTTGCTCAGCAGCAGCACTGGTGCCTCTGTGCACAAGGACCATGGGAATGCTAAGGATAGCATGAGCTTCGCACTCAGTGTTGGGGATTTTAAAGGTGGAGAGTTGTGGTTGGAGGACCCTAGTGTTTCATCTGATAGTGCCATTGTCAGAGTTGGCCCCAACGGCAAGCACCTTAAAGGTCGTGCTGTGTCCACACACAACAAAGCTCTCGTCTTTAACCCCCGAAACTTGCACTGCGTTTTGCCTTTTACTGGAACCCGTTTTTCCATTGTTGCTTACTCCTCGCGCTCGCAAGAATCACTTGCTAGTGACGAGGCAGCCCAACTCAAAGAACTCAACTTCAGGCTGCCTGCGCCGGCCGCCACCGCTTCGCCTGCCCGAGATCTCTCGAGGCCGTCGGGCTGCAAACGAATCATCGTTGAATTTTGTTGTTCGCCCGATAGTCGCTTGGGTGACGCGCGTCCGGCTGCTCAGGGTTGTAAGATCATTCGTGTTACGGACCAACAAAACGCCCTTAAGGATTCTACGCTGAAGTCGGTTGTTTCCCAAATCCAAACCCTCTGCGACGAGGGGGGAGCATTTAAGCCGATTCTCGTGTTCGCGTCGCTTCCGTGTACGGGTGGTTGTCCGTGGAACAGAATGACTCCTAACAGCCCCAAATGGCAGCAACACCAAAGTTTGTTCCTTGAACTGTTGAAACAGCTCAAGTCTCTCTTGCGCATTGCGCAGAATGAAAACTTTCAAACCACAGGTTGCTTTCGAGCTCCCAAAAGAGTGTGACTATTGGAAGTGGGGTGAAGTGCAAAAGCTGATTCAGGATTACGATCTTGAACTGTATCGTTGTGACGGATGCATGCTAGGGATCTTGGATCACCAAGGACTCCCACTAAGGAAGGCATGGATCGTTGCATCCTCTGTTCCAATGCAGCGGCTGGCAGCTCACAGGTGTGATCACAATCACAAACACGGAGAGTCTAGGGGCAAGGACCTTAGGAACTCTGAGAGCTACACTTACATCATGACTGATTGCATTCACCATGATTGGAAAGTGTTTTGTGACAGTTTATCGAAACGTTCCGCATGTGCTATCAACGCTTTGTCGCAGACTCGCACCGAAACTAGCACGTGTAATTTCGGGACTACAAACACCTTAGTTGCCTGCTGCGCCATCGCGGCAGTCCACTGCTCGCCGAACATGGAGCGAACCACCGCTGGCATCGTTGCACCAACGGAGGTGCTTTTCAGCTGGTGGGCACGTCGTCTCACTGAGACCGCTCTTTGTTCGGAATATCGGACCATGGCAGCACTGGAGGACGGCGAGCACGCCGTGAACGAGTTTTACAAATATGTGCCGCGTCCTGTACTTTGTGAATTTGCCTTCAAGAACCCCGTGGAATGCGGGAATGTGGCAAAAGTCGGCTTACTGAGTGATCAAGGCCTTGCCATGCTCCAGCCCGAACACATTCGTGGCCGCTTGCGCTCATTGATCATCGTTGCTGACTCGTCTACCACTTTCCTGACTGAGGGGAACTACAAGACCGATTTGCACGCCGACATCACCGTCAACCGCACCAATGTGTTCCCCGACTTTCAAGGAGTCGAGTACATCCCATCATGGGGGTCCAATCTCACGCGGCTGGTACAGCTCGCCGTTGACAAGATCAACATGTGGGAGAGGGCTGGTGCAATCGACAAGACCCTGTCAGTGGATGTGATGATCGTCTGGAACGCAAATGAACTTGTGGGCGAAAAAGGCCTGTTCTTGGATCCGAATTATAAACCTTCAACAGAGAAATGGAGGGGAAAGCCGCACGTCGCACAAGGACAGTGGAGCTTCATAGGCCCCAAAATTCTGCGTGAATTGCACAAGCTCAAGGAACTCCAGAAGCGCCCCCACGTTGGTACCGTCCTCCTCACCTCTGCGACGGACCACAAGGCCTACTTTCTCCCGCGAGAGTGGGGCACTTTGATGGAAGAGATCCTCGACTACGCCGCCCAAATTGGGCTGGCCGTGAAAAACTTCAATGTGCCTGCGTGCCAAATTAGGAAGTACGACTCATTTCACTTCCTTGAGGACACCAATCATCGACGGCAACTACTTCAATAGATTGGAGCCACGGCTCGAATCATGGTGCTTCGCCATCAATGCTCGTTTTTCCGCACTGAGGATCTGGATCGCACATTGGTGAATTACCAGCACGTCCCGCGACCGAACGCTCGGTTCGCCGTGGGCGCGCAGATTGACGACCAGATTTTCAAGAGACTGCAGAGGACGAGGGCAAAAGAAGTTTTTCAGCCACTGGTCGAGGCCGATCCATGGGACGACATCTATTTTGATGGCCCAGAGGAGAGTTTCCCAACTGGGGCACCAATCCGCTTGCAGGACCGCGAGTTTCCCAACATGGTCCGATTGGAAAGCGGCGAATACGTCCCAAGGGACCAGTTTGAGGCTAGCCAGCAGGAAGCAGTAGACAACGCCCCCCGTCCTGGGGAGGCTGTCATCGCTGCATCGCGGGCTGCAACAAACCGGGACCCTGAGGCGACTAAGCAACGTTTGCTTGGGCGCGGCGAGGTGTTCGACAAAGCATCGTCTGCATCTTCAGCCGCAGCCGCAGAGATTGGGCCATCACAGCCGAAGAAGGCGAAGACCAGCGGAAGCGGCGACGAAGTTATCCCCACAGGATACCTTAGGGTGTCCGATGACTTCCAGCTCGTCGACATGTTGGGCCTCGACTGGGACACGATCGCACAACGCCCATCTGATGATGAGGCCGACTGGGTGATCCTGTCTCCTGAGGACCTCCCCAATCTTTCCGCTGTGCCAATTCCACGTTCGGAAGTATGTGACCGGGGTCGTTAGAGGCAAAATCTACGACGACATGCACGACTCGGAGCTTTGGTGTCGGACCCGTGATGTTCTCGATCGTGTGAACTACGATTGCGGCACCAGCTACGGTCTTGGCGTTGTCCATGGTGAAGAACGACAACAAGGGTCGCTTGGAGCTCAAGGCCGACAGAAACCATCAACTCGCCGACTACTATGGTCTGGCCGGATACCCTGTGCTAATACGGGCTAGGCAGGGGCATTCAAAAGGTTTGATGGAGACTGCATCCGACGAGCAAATTTGCGACTGCTGGCTGTCGTGTATCCCGAAGAATGAGATGAGTGACCACGACGCCACCTTCGAAGGTAGGCCGGTCCTTTGCTGGGAAGAGACTCCCAAACGTCTCTACCACAGAACATTCAAGGACCGCGCCTTCAAGATTGTGCAATCAGCTTTCTACCCCGGCTACCGAACAGCCAACGCCCATGTGTATTTTTCTGATCGCGAAGTCGGACATCACGAAAATCGTGCTGGTGTACGTGCCGATCGACCTTTTGAGCTTGTGGTTGACACACGTGAGGCCCTCCGACTTGGCGTGGGGCTCTTTTACTCCAGATCAGAAGGTGTACTCTCAAGTCAGTCGGTCCGGGGCAGCTGCGTGCTGTGCATACGGGACACGGCGTCTGACGCCATCATCTGGAGTAGAGTCGAGGAAACTGATGCCCCTCAATCTGAGGAGGCCGGTTTCACTCTTCCCGCCGGTGGAGACGAACCACAAGACACCGTGGAGGTTATCTACGAACTCGAGGATGAGGAGCCTGAAGACGTTGCGATCAAGCCAATCATCAAGGTCGAGCTCCCAGTTGCGGCGGATGCTTTGGGTACAGATGAAGATGTTCCCGAAGGCCCGAGGCTGACCTTCAACACCGACATTGACGTCCAGGAGATATCGCCTACAAGGTCGACTGCTGGATATATCGAAATCGTCGCTGGTGGCGATGCAGATGTTGGTGCAGCATCCTCTGGTCAAGCGGCTGGTACTCAGCGCGCCGGGAGCCTGACCCGCATCCAGGGCGATCATTGCGGCAACCTGCGTTTGGAGGGGCAGCATCGTTGCTTCCATTGTGGCTGTTTCCTGACCAAAGGAAGCAGGCAGTCAACGTTCCGCATGTTTATGAGCCGCAAGCGCAACGACGTCCTCGACCAGATCGCTCAGGAAACTGGCTACCGGCTTTGGCAGCTGACGGCTGACCAGGTACGCCAGGGCTCAGGACAGCACGACAACCGCGGCGCTCAGTCTGTCGATGGAAAGGCTATTGCTCAGGCAAAGCAAAGCCTTAAGCACTTCCGTGGCCAAGGACACTCTGGCATGCTCGACAAGTTCGATTCTGACCACAACTATGCCATTTACGCGGTCCGAAATGGATGGACTCGCCGATTGTTGTCAATTCAGGAGTGCGTTGCTTTCGCTTATCTCCCGAATCCTGGCCGCAATCGTGAACAGAGAGCATTGGGTTACGGATCGAGCCGTCGTTTGGAAGCAAGCCAAGTGGACCACACGGCACTTTGCCGTATGGTGTACTTCGACAAGCCCGCCGGTGATCTCATCCAGGCCGGTTTATTGTCGAATGACCAGGAGGAGCCCATCGGTTTTGCCTGGCTTGGCAGCTTCTATGGTGTTGAGGACGTCTCCCGCGTTGCTTTCTTCACAAGGGGAGTGAGCCATGTCCTTACCTTCTGCGAAGGCACCATTGAGCTCCCACATGCGACTGAAGCTGGCGACATCAAGATTTTCCTAAAGGCAGTGGTTCGTGATAACCACTCCGCTGCGAGGACCCTCGTCAGGCAGATGAAGGATGACGCCGAGGCTTCCCGTGCACCACAAAGGCTTGCAGACGAGCGTCGTGCCCGGCAGCAGGAGCGCAACGCCCCTCGCCATGAGGAGGCCGATGTATGGTCGTCCTCAACGTGGGGCTGGTCTGACCACGGAACTTGGTGGTCGGGAGACTGGCGCTCTGAGAATCGCTGGTCGGAATGGGACTGGAGCAGCTGGCAGCAAGACCGCCACACTCCATGGCGCTATGATCATAGCCGTAGGTGGTAACATACCACATTTTGCGTTTGCACAACACGTTTGCCATCGCCTTGTTTTCCTCTTTTGCGGCACGCGTTGTGTTTTTGCAGTGTTTGCTCATACCGTGTCTGTATCCCCGCCGACGTTCCAGCAAACGGAACCAAGAAAATACGCCGCCTCTTAGGGCTGGCCGGAATATTTTTTTGAAGTCGGTGCGCGGTGATCGGCGGTGAGTTTTGGAATTCAAACCTCGGGCTGCTGTGCTCTGAACATGCAGTAGAAAAGGCAATGCGGCACTAACTGTGTCCGCCGTGGCTTCGTTGACAGCGCCTCAGCATTTCACGCTTCGACGAGGGGGGTGTATTTTATATTCGAACCTCCTTGCCACTTTTGCCTTCATGTATGTTGCATCTATCGCACTCAAGCCCTCTGAGACAAAAAGGTAGAAGTGCGCCTGTGTTTCATGGCTTAACGGATTGCATTGGTGGATTTCCCAACTATAGGCTTTAGGGTTTGGGGTTGTTTCGTAGGCCCTGGGTCCTCTTCCTCTCAAACCCTAGGGTTAAGGGTTTACGGGGTTTAGGGTTTAGGGTTTAGGGGTTTGGGACCGCGCGTCTCGAAAACCTGCTTCGTTCTTCTGAGTTTTGGGGTTAATGTTTGGGGTAGAGGAGCCAGCTGCTGAGGCACCAGCTGCCGAGGCCAAGCCTATTTTTTAATCAGAGGTCATTTGTGGTTTACATCTGTTTGTAAACTAGACACAAAATTCAATAACGGGCCTGTGCTGCATATGTTGTGTTTTATCCATGCAGATCGACATATGCGACCTACAGCTTACAGAGAAATACACTTAACCTGCATGAGTCCATCACCCCAAGTTACATGAAATGCAAATAGTTCGGATCATGTGATAAGTATACTTGGAGGTCAACAATAGTTAGACAACTAGCGCATCAACAAAAATGCCTATTGTAGTTGGGTCTAGCTTGATAATTTGCGTAATTCGCGTTGCATATATTCATTGAGTTACAACAGCAGTGGCTTGACAGTTTTAAATCGACCTCCTTTAAGAAGTGACTAGAACATAACTTGTCGGAGCGTGCCCTGACAGTTTTAATTTTAACGCTAGCAAAAAAACAAAAGCACCAAAATACCAAGCACCGAAAGACCAACACGAGCTTTGAGATTCTCGCTGTTGTTAACACTAGCAAAAAAAAACAAAAGCACCAAAATACCAAGCACCGAAAGACCAAAACGAGCTTTGAGATTCTCGCTGTTTTGTTTGGTTTTTGGTTTGGGGCAGCTGATCGGGGAGATCAGCATCCCTCCAAGAATCATCGGCTTTGAGCTGTTGAAACTTCGTGTCTTCACCGCTATTTACAGTGGTTTTGAGACCAGTGTCTTTCGTAGGGGGAATTACCGGATATATATATATATATGCATATATATATATATTACAAACTTCCAAAAACAATTCTAGTGAATTTGGCCCCTCTCGCTCTTTATATATATATATATATATATCTATACATGCTTTAATTTGTGGTGATCTTATCAAAGCACTGCCGCATGAATCTCCCGCCGTAGGTCAGTTCACACTTGGTGCACAAACTCACGAACTTGATACTCTAAGTTCTGCTCAACTTGACAACAGATCTCGTATGGAGGCATTCTGTTTAGAATATGTTTTGTTGCTTCAAACATATGTTTCGAGAAGGGGCCTGACCATCTCATCACGTACAAAGCCCCAAAACTGAAGCTACGCAACCCAGATAAGACACAGCTAAAACGTTACAATGATGCTGTCTCCAGGAAAGCTCTTGAAGAACTAAGCATTGCTGACGAGCAAGATATTCCATTCGAACAGTTGAAGCCCATCCTTCTCCAATCTGCTAAGGAAACATTACCATTACATCCTCCAGGGCAGAAAAAGAATTATATTTCTGAACAGACATGGGCGGCGCTTTTAGAAGGCAAATGGGAGGCGATTGAGCACCAGCAATGGGACGTTGCCGAAACACTAAGCAAACACATTACCTCCCAAGCCAGAAGAGACAAAGAGCATTCCCTCCTTTAAGAACTCGAACAATTACAGCACAAGGATACAAATTGAGTGGCCTCAAGCGTCTACAGGCCAAATTTACCCTTAAATTCACCAAGTTCAAAGATTCCTCAAGCGGATTACCCACAAAAGGCCACGGAGTACTTGGCTAATGTTCAGTGGGGGGGGGTTCCTACTCCTCACCTTCTTACCCACCACCGGCGTCTAGAGAGAACCTCCCACTTCAAAGCGGTTCTTATGTTGTGGATGAGTCTCCGTTCACCCCTAACGAGCTGGAGTATGTATGTCGACGAATACAATCGCTGAAAACTCCTGGCCATGATGGAATACCTGGAGAGCCGTTCAAATTGTCAGACAAAGGCGACAAACTCTTAATTTTGAACGCGCCTTGCGGGAGGGGAAGTCCCGGAGCAACTTCTTAAAGCTGTTGCGGTATCGATCTATAAGAAGGGTGACTCCACCTCTTTGGAAAACTATCGGTCGATTTCACTATTGACATCGTGCTATAAGATTGTGGCAGCTCTAGCTAGAGAAAGATTGGATAAAGGTCTGGACTCATGGCTCATGCAGACGCAATATGGATTCAGAAAATTCAGGAGCGCCAGGCTATCTTCGTAGCAAGAAGATTACAAGACATGGCAGAATAAACCCCTTTGTAGCAGCAGGCTGGTACTTCTAGAATGGGAAAAGCCTTCGATATTTTTTCAAGAGAAGCTTATTGAAACCGTGACAAGGTGAAAGTACAAGTGAAGGTACCGGACAAAATCAGAAACTTAATTGAAAGCTTCTACAGGGATCCGGAGTTTAAATTAAAGTTAGCGTGAATGGAAATGATTCGAATTGGCTTACGCAGTCTAGGGGGATAAGACAGGGCTTCCAACTCTGATATCAAGCTTGAGCTCAATATACTCCTAAACAACTACAGCCCGTTGACGGTATTTGTCACGAAAGCTAGCCCCTGAGGAGCTAGCGGAGTATCTTACCTAAGCGAAGCTTACAACCTGAAGGGTATACAGGGCCCCCGGAGGCTCCGCCACGAAACGCAGCAAACCCGGTCGGTTTCCGGGTGGCGAACACAGGTTTTTGGGAAACGGGCTGGCGTTCATTTCTTTCGTATATTGGGTGCAAATGAACGCCGTTTTCTGTGGATCCCAGGCCCTTGAAAACTTCCCAAGTCCCCCAAGAAAAGACTCAGAAGCCTTGATGTTGATGTGAGTCTGGCGTCCCTCAAAGCTGGATTGGACAGACTTTCATGATCCTTGGCGTAGGCTTGTCCTGATACATAGTGGATGCCCTGTTGAAGGAAGCTCTTCCGTGGGGGTACCTTAACTAGCTTTCGTCCCAGGCCCTCACCCCCCAAGTTTCTCCGAAATGTTTTGCGCGGATGACACCCTCATATTCGGGGCGACTACACATTGCGTTAATGTTCTTTTGCATGCCATTGAAAAACATTCAGCGTATTATGGTCTCACGCTAAATTATGGAAAACGCGTAAAGCTTACTGAGAACCAAAAACAATCTTCAATCAGGTTCTCCCCCGCAGGTCCGGCCCAAGGGAAGTCGGTAATTATTCAGGAAAAAGTCTGCCATGGACCTTGGAACCTTGCTGACAGACACCTTTGACAATAGAGCCGAAGTCTCCAACCACATGCAACCGCTTGAAGTTGTTTTGGAATAAAGCCAATACCAGCGGTGGAAAATTCAAGCATTCAATGCTATTATACTCTCGAAGCTACTCTACGGGTTAGAATGTTTACAGCTTTTGATCCTGAACTATCAAAACCCAACGCCTTCCAAAACAAGCCGTTGCGAAGGATTCTGCACATCACCCTCACATTCATTGACAGAAAACAAACGAATGCCAGCATGTATGACAGAATCAAGAAAAAGCACGGTTGCTCTTTTGGGCACTTTGCGTAGGACAAAAATGCAGACTCTTGGCTCATACATTGCGAGCAAACCCGGCAGATCTCCTTGTCCAAGTTACTCTCAAATGTGACGGAACAACGCCTAGAAAACCCACGAAAAGAAGAATCGGAAGACCCAAATCAGATTGGATCATGGAGATCTATAAAGATGCGTTTAACCTCCTTCATGGAGCTGACCAAGTTTTTGATGCGACAACAGGCAACATTTAGTGGAGATTGAGCAGGCAGCAACAAACCGCACTGGACCGCTTGCTCCATAGTCTGGAAAGATATACTGGAGCTCAGTTCCACAGGCCTCTGGCCTCTCGAGGTACTTCTCGGGGTAATCTCGTCATCTTTGCTTGGGAAGCGTGGTGCAAGTTTCTAGACATCGTTCTTATCTTGATGGTTAGGAGGTCTTTGAGAGTTGAAAGATGTTGGTCTGGTGCGCAGCCCTCATTGTTGCTGTGCTACTCACTTTCCACAGTCCTGTGGGGAGGCCTTTTGCGCTCGCTAGGAAACATATGCATTACTCATTGTTGAGGGCAGCTGGTAGCTTGCCGAGTTCGAGCCTCCCCCCGCGAAAGACTTGCGAAGCCTTGCTCTAAGGGGGGCTGGGCCAAAGTGTGTTATCATGCTCCAACCCAAACCCTGAACTCTAAACCCTGACTCGAAACCCCTGCTCCCTAAACCTTAAAAATGAAGGAAGCCCCTACCTACTGTAAGCCCTCTGCCGAAGGAGGCTTGGAAGGCGCCTCGGCTCGTGAAAACCGATGCGCGAGGCTTCGGGGCATTGTTTTTGAGCTTGCTTTTGGGCTTGGGGTGTAGGGCGTGCTACTCGTAATGTTGGACCCGGTTTAATTGGAGGGGTCACTATTTTTGATGAGGGTGGTCCGCAATTATGCGAAGTGCGCGGCCCGGGGATGAAGGGCGGGGGCCCGGAGAGCCAAAAGCTAGAAATGATTTCGAATAAGAAGCTCCGGAATTTGCTGGTGTCCGGCTTTATTTAAACTCCTTTTAAAATTTCATTACGAAACAGGCCCCCAAACAATTTTTTTTGGGGC